CAGGACAATTTGCAGTCCTTTCATTTCCTCATTTCCTTCTCTGTCTAATCATGTTCTTTCCCTCTTGTTGCAACGTGAAAACATTTTGTATTCCATCTACGGAAATATTCCCTGCAAAATCTGCTTTTCCTTATAGGGGAGCAGCCAGCGTTATCCCATACTCTCCAGAAGGGGTCTCTTCAAATGTAAAACGTGATCTTACACGGATCTTATCATTTGACATAAGTAAAGACAGCTGCAAAATACCGCTGCTTGTACAACAGTAGATTTCCCCACTCAGTCATCAAAAGTGGTGTCCCTTCACAGAAGCAAAGCAGCCACCATCACCCTGCATGCACATGTACAATCACGTGGAACAGAAAAGCGTGCGTTCTTTCTCAGTGGCTATCAGAATAAAGTAGTCTAAGCTGTCTGCCTAAATCTAGGTTCTGCATAGATTATGGTGCACACTCTGAACTGGTAAGTTTCATAAAGACTGAACTGACATGATGTGAATGCCCACTGGAGTCTTATTATGTGAACCTGGACTGCTTCCTGCATGGTGACTTGTTTGTAGGCAACAAGCCTCCTTCCAAACCATGGCTTGTTTTAGGACTTGTACCTAAAATTGATTGTCCTGTTAATTTGCACAAATTTCCTGAGCTATTTAAAATTATAAAGTAAATAAACTCTCACAAATTATGGCCTGTTTTGAAAGTGGGAATCTGAACATTGGCTTGACTTCTCTCAGGCTAAGTCTGCACCAGTATGGGGGAATCTAAACAGAATCTGGAAGCTCAGGTTAGGACCCCCCTCCCCCGAATGGATTCCTTGCACATTGCTCGCCGCAAGTGATCTCAGCTTGTGCAAGGGCCTGGCCAGTAATCACTCCTTTGCTGTGAGATCCCCCAGTTTGTTCATTTGTTTTTGAACTGGAACTAACTCTTCTTAGTGTCCTTGTGCCTTTCCACCCTTTCCTAGGATGTTAGGTGCTTAGGAAAGTGGATTCTTCTGTTAATAGCCAACCCTCCTTTGGTTATTTGCAGGGCAGCCTACCATGGCATGCTGTTTTGAGGCTATGGGCTACTTTGCACCTTATGATAATCTCTTTGAAAATGAACTTGAGCAGGTTGTTCGTTTGCTGACTGATCTCCATTGCTTGTGGCAGATGATCAGGTGCTCTGTGGTTTGCTGTCTTTTGTTTCTCCCTTTGTCCTTCTGCCTGCCCTCAGCTCACATCCCATATACTCCTGCAGTACAACCTCAGTCTCTTTCTCCACTAATGTATATGTTTGAGCATCTTAGCAGAGTAGAAGGAGAGTTTCTTTCTTGTTTACCTTCTAGGAGATTGGCAGCATTTTTGTTAGTTTGTTTTACCTTCTGGAAGATTTGTACACATGTAATGTTATTTTTTATCTTTGGGGAGATTAGGAAAAACTATTATCTTAGGAGTTTTTCCTACTTCCCCCTTTCCCAAAATACTTGGACCAAAAAAAAAAAAAAAAAAAAAAAAAAAAACAAACGTTCTGTTACAATATTGATGTGCATTAGAGCAAATTAAAGGATATGCATGGCAAAGTGGATTCACAGTATGGGGGAAATCAATGGTCATCTGGGAAGAATTTGTAGAAAAATTAAATATAGATATTAGGGAGGGCTATTTTAAGATGTTATCCAGATGGTGTAGTATTCTTTAGATCTTATGGAAATACCTAAAAATTACAGTAGTCATTTCTGGAAGTGTTAAAAGATTGATTCTGCCTTCTCCCACTGCTGCCCCAACCTAAGATTGGTATATCCTGCCATAAAGAGTTTTGCTGGGGAAAAGATCAAAAGAGAGGCAACTTGATTTTGCTGTTGTGAACGTGGTTGTTAAGTGCATTGCTTTGGATCAACCTTCCCTACCTAATATCTTCCAGAGGTATTGAAAAATACCTAATATCCTAATGTCCGTACTGGCTTTGAAAGATAGGGGGCAACTCCAGCAGGGGGCATCAGAGTGGGAGAGGCTACTTGAGACATGTGTGTCAAACATGTACGCCAACACTTATAGCAAGAGGAGGGCTGACCTTCCTGTCCACACCTCCACCTTCAATGAGATTAGGGATGCTTCAGCCATCCTGCTCCTATTTATTTATTTATTAATTAATTAATTAAAACATTTGTATGCCGCCCCATTCGCCAAAGCCTCGGGGCGGCTTACAACAATAAATTAAAACATCATAAATAACATTTTAAAATATATACATTAAAATAAAATACAAATATACAATATAAAATAAGCCGCCCTGGCCAGATAAAATTCAATAATATTAACATTTAAAATGCTGCTTAAATAAAAAGGTCTTCGCCTGGCGCCGAAAAACAAATAACGACGGCGCCAGG